ATTGGTCGACGTGATGTCGTGTATTGTCCGTATCCAGAGATCTCTGTCTCTGGTCATTTCTTTTAATTCATGCATAGGTATTTGGCATATTCCTGTATTTGATCTATCCATCTTGTTGGGATCTTCCTCGTGATCTTCGGCCTTCTACCTTTCCTTGTATTATGAGTCTTTCCATGTTTTCTGTGTTTGCTCTCATAACATGCTCAAAATATTTTAATTGTTGGAGATGGACTTTACTGGAGAGTCGTTGGCTAACTTTTAGCTCTCTTAAAATTGAATTATTTGTTCTACGGTCGGTCCAAGGAATTCGTAACATTCGTCTCCAACAGAACATTTCAGTGGCGTCTATATTTCTTCTCTCCGATTGTCTCAGAGTCCAAGATTCACATCCGTAGCATATAACGGTAATAATCCGTACGGTATAGGATAGCAGCTATATAATTACTGTATTAATGTTGCAGTAGTTGAGTTGATGTTTGTTAATCGAGACCTTCCTCTGGAGCTGAGGATAAAAGCCTTAAGATACTGTGTGTTCTCGACTTTCTTGCATGGAATGTAAAGGTCAGTACTAACAGTGTATAATATAAAGAAGTTGGAATTATTTGAGATGTGATACTATAGATGGATTTTGAAAATACCATGGACCCAACGAGTTACAAATGCAGAAGTGTAAAGCAGGCTACAAAAGGATTGCGAGGTCATAAAGCACATCAAAACAAGAAAGCTGGAATATTTAGGCCACATTACCAGAGGTGCGAAATATGAGACATTAAGGCTCATAATGCAAGGTAAAACCAATAGTAAAAAATTCAGAGGAAGAAACCAAAGAGATTGGTATAATTGCAGCTCAGTAGATCTTTTCAGAGCAGCCGTTAATAAGGTACAAATAGCTGTGATGATAGACAACCTCCGATAGGAGAAGGAACTACAAGAAGACGAAGGATTGAGTTCTGCTGTTGACTTGATAACAGACACTCACGGGCAAATATCACATATTGATTCAACCGGACGCAACACTGCGATCAGGCAGGCAAGGGAAATTCGCTGATCGGGTAGTGACCGGCGTAGTTCTAATTCTGGGTCAGATAGTTTACTATGTGTCACCAAGCACGAGCACGCGAGAGACCGTTTTCAAGATAAGAAATGTAACAAAAAAATATTACAAATGACAAACTAAGTTAAAACATGAAAATCTTTAATAAGTGTGTATTAAAACAAATAAATTATACTTGACCAATTCTTAACTGGAAATGGGTTATTTAGGTCTAAAAAATTAATGTCTTTAATTCGGTATAAAATAAAACAAACTTTTTTTATGCACAGAATATGTTACAGACAGGAATTGTTTTGCAACGTTTTGCACGAACAACAAAAACTGAGGAAATTACTTTTAGAAGTAATCTCAAAACACAGTAATAATACTTAACGCCTTAATTGTCCGATGAAGTTTCGTAAAAACTCTCTTCCTTAGTCATACCACTTGTATCCAGCAATATCAGAGAGATCTACCCTGTCGTGTCTTATTTCTATCATGAAACGAAAGTCTAAACAATAAATGATTTATATAATTTTAAATATTCTTGGAAGTGGTTATATGTATTACACATTTCCATGTAAATTAATTAGCAAATGGAACAAACAACCAAGTACAGCTAATAATACCATGTAAACTAAAATTACACCTTCGGATCATCACTGCTTTAGCCTTGACAATGATGAAAAAAGTGAGTTTTCAAAAAATAACAATGAACGTTTAATTTTTGTGTATTTAAATACCAATATCGAGTTATTAATCATAATTTTATATTATAAATTATGCAGGTGAAGGTTAGAATCGACCTGCATGTCATTATTATTGGTACTCCCATCCATGTGGGATATCGTTTAACCTCGAAATCATTTCATAGTTCAAATATGGGCATTTTGTTTGTTTAAATTTATGCAACTGTTTTCAGATACTATAACAAAGAACATAAAATGATTATCAGGTTGTAAACAAAAAATATAAAGTAGATAATGTTAACCAAGTGGCGGAATAAGGAATTGTTTATGAAAAGTTATTACAAATCTCGCTTAGCAAAACACATAAGTAAGCACATGATATTGCCTTCTTGTGCATTTTTATTCGATTATTATCGATTTATCTTTGTAATATTTCTTGCAAGGCTCCGTGACTATTGCACGTCCTCCACACTGTAGAAAATTTATATAATAAACATTCTAAGAATATGGAAGCAAGCAGCCCTAAATATGGTTGTCGACTGGAGTAAACAAGAGAGACTGACAGTCATTACTCAGAAAATACAAATCGCCCCAAACCAAATCGTGGAAGAAATCGAAAAGCAAGAAAGAACGTTCCATTCAGTTATCATCTTCACAGATAATCAGATTGTGTGTATGCCCTAAGTAAACTACGAGACCGTAGCAAGGTTGCGGTAGCTGGGTACTGGAGCACAAGGGTCATAAGGGCAATGAAAAAGCAGATTAGATGGCCAAACAAGGTTCACCAATGCCATTCATTGGACCGGAACCCTTCTGCGGCGTTGCAAAGACAGTGACAAGAAGGGCTACAAGGAAGTGGGTAGCTCACAAATCTCTGGAATTGTGAAGAAATTCACCAGGACAAAGAGAAGCGAAACAATTCATTACAGAGCATTCGCCAAAATTTACGGCAGAGCTAATAAGCAAAGACATGAAACCAGTCAAAGTCATAGTAAGTATTCTAAGAGAGCACTGTGAGCTGAATAGGCACCTGAAGATGATAATATTATCATATGATGACCTGTGCAGATTCTGTCACCTCGAAGAAGAAACAGCAGAGCACATTCTATGTCAGTGCGATAGTCTGGCAAATGTGTGGGTCTTTGTATTACGAGAAGAAAATCCACCGGGCAAATAGCTACATGGAAGGTACAATCTCCAACTTATTTGAGAAAGGGGTCAGGCTAGAGGATGTTATCTAGGACTAGAGAACCACAATAGATCTGAAATGGTCAAAAGGCTGTCTCTTTAAATCTATCTATCCCAGACTAAAGAAAATATCTGGGGATATGAGCAGTAATCTGTAAATATGCATAAATAAATGGGATACACATTGAAACATACACAAAAATATCAAACATAGAGATATGGATTGCAAATAAGTGGAATAGAGAAAAGATAAGAGACGTGAAGATGCAAAAGTTTTGATGAATCATCATATTGAACAGAATAATAAATACGGATACAAAAGAGCTAATTCACGTAACCGATGACATAATTTATGATATTCAATAAATATGACTTATTAGGTAGGAACATATTCGAGTAAATAGACTAATACATCCTTAACGCCATTCACAGTAATTTGTCTCATTTCAATATTTGGACTTTATGCTTGGTTCAATATCTTAATATATCTTGCACACCATATTGCAATCTTATGTCTTCGTTTTCTTTACTTTTAGTTTTGACTGCTATACTTAACATAATCATTCCACAACTTGTTGTATATTTTTGGTTATACTCGTAATATTTTCCTTCTCTATTCTATGCCAAATATCATACACAGTCTAAGTTCTTTTTATTCTTTAGCAGGATTGTGTGGACTGGAAACACTTTCAAGCATCTGCTGTGAAAATTTAGGAGAAATTAACAGAAATACCGATCTTGAGGTAGTTAAATACTTCTATTTTATTCGATATACCCTTTAAATTATCTAATTTGTTTCAACTTGGATTTACCCATATCTTTTGTTGCAACCTACATGTAAATCCGTTAGGTAACCTCTGAGTTTGGTAGAATTAGACAAATCGTTGATTGTAAATACAAGACGTACTAGATATATGAACTGCGATATCTGTTAATTTTAATTTGGCCACTGGTTTGTTAATTATTGGCTTTCCATGCAGGTCATATGTTTAGACTGTTTTTAGACTTTTATCGTCCATTTTTAGGCATAGGCCTCTCCCAACCCCTTTCCTTGCTCTCTATCCTAAGCAATATACTTTCAATTTGTTTCGGCTATTCTTTTTGTAAACACATCGCTGAAAGACCTGAGGAGATGGTTTGACGGCTCATCCACAGAAATGTGCAGCAGTTCCCAAAGCTACAATTGACATTTGGATCTCCAACCTTTGAAAATAGTCTTCTACCCATCTCATTTGTAGTCTTTGTTTTGGTCTTCTACGTTGGTATTCTTCTTCAACGTTGGTCTTTTTATCTAGCAGTATGACCTGCGAAGTTCCATTTGAGTTTGGCAATTGTTTGGGAAATTCTCGACTTTTGTTTTCGATCTTATCCAGTCGTTCGTCTTTTTATATGACAATCGTAAACCTTAGGCTACTCTTTCCAATGTCCTTTCTGTTGTAGTCTGTTATATGTTTGTAGTTTATTCATGTTTGCCTTTGTTTTGGTCGAGGTTTAACATCCATAGGTCATGATAGGAAGGATGCACTGATTAAAGACTTTGCTCTTCAAGTATGTAGGTATTTTGCAGTTGTTAAGGGTCCAACTAAGTTTTCTAAATTCTGCCCATGCCAGTATTCAGAATTTAACCTAGGTAAATATATTCCTGGACTTTTATCTCACTGCCATTTATACTTATACGTCTTAGGTTGCTTGTCTGTATAATTGTTTTAGTTTTTGTCATATCGGTCAATCGGCTAGTATTTTCTCAAAGAAAAGGACTATTTTCTTATTTCAATACTGAGTTTATTTTCTGGTTCCATGCTTTTCATTTTCTCTGTATTTCCAAATAATTTTTGCGTGCCTTCTTATTTTTGGAAACGATCTCGCTCTTACTATTTGTCTTTTATCTGTTATCAGATACGTTGTCTGATACATTGAAATCATGATACTGTATTATTTTAATTTTGAGTTCATTGTCTGTGAAATGGCATAAATCATCTAGTCAACTGTTTTGTTTTATAAATTCCTATCAGAAATATAAATCTAAATAAAGTTAACGCAATCAAATGAACAGATCTGTAACAACATTATTTTATGTGTAAGATACATACCGGTAACATTTAATCCAGCAAATGATTGAAACTCCTCTATGGCTTTTGTATACGTTCGTTCATCTAATAATTGACTAGAATTTCCCCTGGTTGGTGCGAGGTAACCAAACTGGGAGAGATATAACTGCAAAAAAAAATGTTATTAGTAAACTATAGCACTATAACTTTCAAATTTATTTACATGTGTTATTCTTGTCATATTTGTGGGAACGAATTCTGGATTAAAGCAGTTAACTGGTTTGTCCAATATAGACACCTTCACATAAAGTTATTAATCGCTAATAATATAATAAGATTTACTATTTTCCTCAAATAAAGTAAAAACTACTGAGTGGTGATTTAGTAGTATGGCTAGTATTTAAAATTTACAATGTTAACAATTTTTTTGATACTTTTTTTTAACAATTTGGTACTTTTGAAGCTTTTTTTTAATATTTTAATGCACAACTCTACTTAAGTTCACGTGAACAATAAAAACTATAACTTCCTTTTTAAATCGACGTGGAGAAGGTATCTCTTGCGTCAAACGGTACAATATATAAATAATACAGTGAAAAAACGTCAACAATGTGTAAACTGCAAACACAATTATTGACATTATACACAGATAGTTTCTTATCATTAATACGTTTGATAAATTGTAGGTCGATGGTAAACATATTAATTATCTATTTTTCTGCGGATTCGTGTTACAGAAATGCGTTGTATAAGTTAAAGATTAGGAATCTAAAATCAGGAATAAAAAATTATATAAAATTGAATCGTTAGTATTACTAATGAGGGAGAATTCAACACTGTTTAAAACAACATGCCTGCGTTGCCATATGTACGACTATGTCTGTTTTTTAATGTGCCTCCAGTAAGTTGTTATTCCATCGTTTTCGTGGTCTTCCTACTAATCGTCTTTCTATTGGGGGAATCATCTCTTACCGTCTTTACTAGTCTATTTGTTGTAATTCGGCTTATATGATCGTTCCATTTTACTCTTGTAAGGTAACCATGTAAGGTGGCTGAGTGCAGGAAAGGGCATGAAACGATTTTTTGCCATAAGAAAGAAAATCCCTGCATTCCTCAACAAATACGTTTCATCTGACACAACTGAACTGTAAGAGAAGTTTAAGGATCCAGAATTCTTAAGACAGTTAGCTTTTATAACAGATCTGACTAATCATCTTAATATGTTAAACTTGAGTCTTCAAGGAAGAAACCAGACGGTTTTAGATTTTATCGAAATGATAAACGGATTCCGGAATAAGCTGAACGTGTTTAAACGTGCTTTGGAAAAGAACAACCTGACACACTTCCCTAGTTGTCTGCAAATAGCAGAAGAAATTAGTGATAAGGAAAATATTGAGTTTTCATCCTGCATTTTATAAATTGAACAAGTTATTGATGAATTCAATACAAGATTTGAAGAAATTGAAAGTCTCAAAAGCAGTGTACTACTTTATAATAACCCTCTTGGAGCAACCATTGATGATCAATCACCCAACTTACAGCTTGAGTTATGTGATCTTCAAGCAGACATGTTACTAATCACCAGACAAGAAAAAGAACCTGAATTTTTCAAATTACTGTCAAAGGAGAAATTCCCAAACCTGCGAGATTTTGGACTGAAAATTACGTCAATGTTCGGAAGCACATATACATGTGAAAGTGCCTTTTCCTCCAAAAAATACATAAAAAATAAAAAGAGAAGCAACCTTACCGATTCTTCCTTACGTCATCTTATGAGAGTGTCTACAAATGAACTGGAGGTGGACATTTCTTCATTGGTAGATAAAGCCGATCGACCAGAGTCCTCACACTAATTGGATACATCTTTTCGTTGCTTTTGCAATGTTTGTCTTGATTATTTGAAAAGTGTTATCAATAAATTTTCCGTTTATAAAAAATTGTAGTTGTTGAGCAATAAAAGAAATAATACTCTTTTTTGTTTTAATTATTTTTATACCTCACTTTATTTTGTTATTACTTGTAACAAAATTATTATATGGCCCGCGACAACATCAAAGGTTTTAGTTTTGGCCCTTGAGTCATTGCAAGTTGGACACCCCTGGTCTAGAATGTACAGTATACATACTTTATAATATATAAATTGATATTTTTTTGAGTTTAATTGAGTAAAAAGTTAAGTGATCTTAAACTGTATTCATTATTTTATAAATAGTTGACTTTATTATATCATTTTAATCAGAATCTAAAGTATTACCCAAATCTATTATTGATTGATTTTCAACAAAAACTTTAATTTTATGGTTAGCAAGTTTATGAGAAAGCCTTTCTAAATTCAAACTGATATCGACTTTATATAATTTGGTTATAAGCGGAACAAATAGCGAAATTAAATTGAAATTGTTGTTTGTTAACTAACAACCTCCTATGTTATTTATCTAACATGTCAGCTTTTTCTCTCCTCACAATTGAGGTAGGCGAATAATGGCCATTCAATTTGTTTCAAGGAATTTACTTATGTGTGTAAATTTACTTCTACATGTAAAACTGCCCTTCGGATAGGTATTATCAGAAGGTCGTTCTAATGATTACTAACGTTGTAATAAAGGGATCAATAAAGAAGTTCGAAATTTTAAACTTTCAATAGATGCGCTAACAAATACTAAAACTAATAACGGTAACTTATATATAAAGGCAGGTCATAAAAAATTACCTTATAATGGCAAATGGGTGAAGAAATGATCTCCATTAAATGCTATATTTGCTTTTTAATTTTTATCTAATAACAATAAATACAAATAATCCCACCATTATTTGTACTTCCTCGTGTGTACTATGAAGACCACATGACAAATGGAGGTACACTATTGTATTGGGGCAGTAAAACCTTCAGTATGGTGGACAGCAAAGCTTTTTCTTATACATTCTTATACATCGCATAAAATGTAGCCTTTGGACCGAGGGGTTTTTGGTCCACATAAAATGTTTTACCACAAAACTGCAGAAGGCTGGATGTTAACTAATCCTAGCAAACCAATAAGTATTCATGACCTTGCAGGAAGGGCAGGAAAAACTTATCTACAAGCATTCACAGCAAAAAATAGTGTAAAAAGTTTTGAGGTTACAGATGTGTGCCCAGTTGACACCAATATTTATACAGAAAAAGAATATCTGCAATCGTATGTCACAGATCGACCGAAAACAACAATGGCTGGTAAATCTACTTCATCTAGAGCTCCTGGTGATCCAAATTACAAATTCTTTGACTTTTTTCCCATCTAAACATTTATCTAACCCGTCTACTTGCATTTCAATACCTCTTCCGTACACTTCTTTTCAAGCGATGATCTAACTTCAGAGTCTTTAGTTTCACTACAACGTGAATAAAAATTACCTGTAACCAATCTGCCAGTACATCAGAGAAACTTGCTATTATGTCGGAGCTGTTAAAAGAAATAAAAAATCAAAGCCACAAGAAAAAGAACCTAAGAAAAAAGTAAAAAACAAGCTGATTAAACTTCCATCAAATTCTTCATTTAATAGTGAAGACGACGATCAAATATCCTTTTGTGACACGTCTGATAAAATGATGATTCTGATAATATGGTTGAAGATAGTTTATTTTATTTAAACTCTGATGTAAAAAGTTAGTTAAACATAATAGCTAAAGTGTATTAAATAATTTGTCCATAAAAAAAAACCAAAAATAATATTTTGTGAAATGTCCACGTTCTTATACTCTAAATTATTATCAGTTAATTTTTCAGTATTTATATGATAAATTTCTTTATTTTTACTTATGTCCGGTAGTATACACATTATTTTGATAAATAAAGTTTTTAATAATCATATTTAATGAGAAACGATCAAGATATAAGACAAGTAGGCGCTTTAGTACCGTTAGCCTTGACCGATGCACAGTATTTATTAACATTGAAAATCGCATTAGTGGTACTAATTGCCAGGTGAGTCAACTAGGTAATCTGAAGTTACTCATATTATTCTGCGAAATTCACTTCTTTATGTAACAAAATAGTGGGCCGTTCATTCATAAATTTTTGAATCATAGTAGAAGAAATTATTCTATTGGAAATTAACAGATACTCCTAAAGGTCAATCACTGCGGGAGTATTATAATGTGTGAATCATTGGAGTTGAGGTTGAAATGGTATAGATCTAATAAGGAAAGCAGGAAATGATTCAATTTGGAGAAATTTCCGAAAGTCGATAAGAGCTGGGATTATCGTGTTTAGTAGGAATTAGATTACTTTTAAGAAAAAAATGGAGAAATTTTGTAGTTTTGACACTCAAATTTACAGATAATTAAAAAGGTTAATATAACCGCAAAATTTCTAAAACTGTTACTAAAACCAAGTAGAATTTAGCGAATATAATATTTATTTTTTTTTATATATTATATATAAACATACGTTGTATTAAAGTGATTTATTCATTAATTTACTTTGTTCTAAAATAATGCTGTATTTATGACTTTATCATTACTAATTGCTTTGTTGTAGATAACAGTTGTATGAAAGTAAGTATCAAAAAGTGTCTACCCCCCAAGTAAACTGAGTAAATTGTCTAGGACATAGCCCAAAAAAATAAGAAGGAGAAGAAGTATCAAAAATGATTTATGTTTTAACCAATAAATAACCTTTGGGTTACATACAAAACACGTATACCAACTTATTAAAATTAAAATGGGTTAACTTTAACGAAAGTACAAGCTGAATGTAGCCGCAAATGTCAACCATAGAAAATATTTCGTCTTGGCATATTTGCGGCTATATTCAGCTTGTATATATGCCATAGAAAACACAAAAGATAGCAAAGTTACTGAACCAGATCAGCAGCCCATCAAATTATTAAAACTTTTGAAAGACATTTGATAAGCTTCAATATAAAAAGATTGTAAATAGATGTAATAAAAAGCCAAAATATTGGCAGTCGTGATATGAAAATTATATCTACTCTATGTTGAAATAAAACTGCTAAGAAAGTGATAACCGAGATATCAAAATACGTTGAGGAATCCGCCAGGGTTGCGTGCTGTCCCCAGAGGGTATATCTATTAATGGAGAAATTTTGAATAACTTACATTTTGCAGACAATACAGTAATAATGACGGATATTAACAATGATTTAGAGAACGTAGTGCAACGCTTT